CTTCAAAAATCTCATGACAACATTAAATGAAATATATATATGGATAGAATAGCTTTTCACACATGAAATACGAAAAGAGACTATCGCTAACGCTTATCTTCTTTGATTAGATATATATGTAGAATGAAAACTTTTTTTATTTTCTCCACAGAACTAAATACAAAAAAAATGTTGTTAGAGTTCGTCAGTATTATCTAAGGGAAATATCTGTTGAAATATTATAGGTCAAAATGATAAATTGATTATATATTGAGTTTTAGATCTATTGTAGGAAAGTACATAGAGAGTAATAGATGTTACTTTAGATAAAATAAATTCGAAAAAAACTATATTTAGTACGTACCACACCTGGAAATTGTTTAAGATTTTCAATAAGTTCAGCACGTCGTTGTGCCCGACTGGTTTCATTTCGATCAGACTATTTTTTGTTTAATGAGAAATAAATATATATATATATATATTATTTGAATAGACTTACGCGAGCTTCACCAATTTCTTTATTAACTTGATCAAGTTCTTCTTCAAGTTCAGTACAACGTTTTCGACCTTCCGTAACTTCTTTTTCAAGTAATTGTACATTTGCTTGTTTTTCATTAAATTCTCGTTCAAGATCACTAAAAATATTTAACTAAAAAAATTTGAGATAATAATTTTAAAAAGATTTATTTACGCAATATAACCACCCAATTTATCAATTTTTCCATTTAATTCTTCAATACGTAATTCTGTTTGTTTAATTCGTGCAATATGATCTTTTTGACTACGTTGTTCTTGTTCAAGATTTGTTTTATCAACTTGTTGTTGACGATCAATTGAATCATATTCTTCAGAAAATTGTGTCATTTTTTTAGCTGCTTCTTCTTTTAAACGTCGATATTCTTTCATCTAATAGATTTTTAAAAAAAGAAATTTTTTTTTTTTTCTTCATTTAAAAAAACAAATGAAAATAATCATTTTTACTTGATTTTCTTCTAATGCTAAATTACGACCAGTATGTTGTGATTCATCTTGTAATTTATCTTCATAATCTTTTCTTAATCGTTCAACTTCACGTAAATCATCGTCATATTTTTCTATTTCTTCATCATGAGCTATATGAGCTTTTTCAGCAGCAAGAAGAGTTTTTCTTAAAAAAAACAAAACCTTCATAGTCTATTATCACTAATGATAAATAAAGGACGACATTGCTCTCATACGTATAAATCCTATTGAATAAACAAACAACAACACGCATACTCACTTACACATAATAGAACTTAAGTAGCGACACATTTCAAAAACAAGTCTTCTCATATTAGCTCCGTTACTTACAAGGGAACTTTCCCAGGTGCCAGAGCGCTTTTCAGTCGGAGTTTTTGCGCATCTTGTAGCCTATAGTGAGCTATGTCTATGGTAAAAAAAGTTCGTCCCCCTGGCTTGTTTCTGACGAGATATCGAGTTTTTAGTGTCTTTTTTCTATAGCACCCCACGTTTGCAGCA